CCTGATTCTGCCATGTGCCTACTCCAAGCTTTCTCCAATGCTCCCACCTCTGTGCCCTGACCTGACCTCTGGGTAACAAACATCAATGCCTTAGTTTTCTGACAGGCTGTCTGTCTACCAAGAGCAGCCTAGCTAGCTAGTGAGCAGACTCACTAGCCTGGGTTCAATGGCCCACCTCAATGCTCCCTAACCAGACAGGTAGGAACAAACAACCCTCAGAGTTAGTGCTTGGGGCCATTACAGATGGTGCTGGGAGTGATACAATAAATACAATGTTTGAAGAAAAGGAAACTGGTAACATTATATCCCAAATTCTATTAGTGCTACCATAAAGTATCAATGCTATCTTAGCCAAAAGTTGCCAATATCTGGGACAATTAAAACAGACTTTGGGGGGGGGAGAAAGGAGAAAAAAGAGAGAGAGAGAGGAACGAACTGGGGGGGTAGAGAAAATAGTACAACAATGAATGAATGGAAATCCAAAATCTCTGTAAATGTTCATTAAAATTAATAAAATAAAATTTTTTAAAAAGTTGCCAATATCAAGAGTAGTGAGCACTTAAGTCCCAGATGGTACAAAGAGTTAAGAGTTGGCCAGTTAACCCAAAGGCTGACAATCTGAATCTACCCAGGGGCACATCGAAAGAAAAGCTCGGCAAACTACTACTAAAAGATCACAGATCCTGAAAGTCGCATGGATCACAGTTCTATTTCTCAACACAAGGTGTCTCTGGGTAAGATCCATAGTTTTAGTTTTAGTGAACCCCTACCTTGTAGGCACAAAAAACCTACCTTTGATTATAACCCTCCATTTTTCCACAGAGAACCATTCTTCCCCATTCTCATTACACTACCTTATATGAGTTGACCCCATCCCTGTGGCTCAGGGGAATGGGGTATGAGCCAAGATTGGCCAGTTAGAATACCTCACCTTCTGACTACAGTCATTAGGTCAGGGATGGGGATAATACCCAAGACTGGTCCTCCAGTCTAGCCTTTGCTGGCAGAATTAAAATGAGAGGCTCTCCCCCCCACCCCGCCCAGGGATGGCTAAACTAATTATGATGTAAGTCCGCAGCCTGCCTTAGAATATCAACAACAAGAAGAGATCATCCCTCTTTCCAACGGTGGACATCTGGACTGAGCTGTGGCTAAGCCACAGGACAGACCATTCAATGACAGGAGCCAATACATTCCACTTGGGGTGAAGGCAATTCTGAGTTGGGTTTATGTCACTTGCAACCAAGAATCTTGACCTACCCACAAAGGCAAGCACTAACAAGAAAAAAGTTCTACCAGTTTGTGGACTGGTAGTGAGGTTCTGGTAGCACTGAGCTGACTCCATCAGTAAAGATTTGCGCATGTCAGCAAATGTCATAGTCTTGCAACTAACCTGGACAATAAGCCATCCAGGATGTACAGTAAATAAGCACTTGTTTATTTTAAGCTGTGTCAAAAAAAATCATCTCTCAATCTAGCAGACAAAGATCACAGGTACACCCTTTCTATCATTCAGCACAAGTGAAACTCTTGTCTAACAGGAAGAGGCCTTTATTGCTCCTTGTAATGTGCAAGCTAGGAATGGGATAACTGGTTAAAAGGGGTTTCCAACTCTATGCTATCGTCTCAACTCTTCTGCCAATCTCAAACTACTCTAAAAAAATTATTTTAACAAAAAGAAAAAGGTTCCTAGATGTTCTAACGGCAATTTATCTTAACAACAACCACCAAAAACAAAAGGATTTTCAGATGTTCTAACAGCATACAAAAATAATAATTAATTCTAAATCATTTCAATATCTGGACCTTTTCTCTCTACTTCTACTGCCCTAGGTCAGGGCCTATTACTTGTCACTGGCTGTCATGTGCCATACAGTCCATGCAGACTCTTAACGAACCACTATGACAGAACAGACCTGCCCCATACAGTTTCTTAGGCTATAATCTTTATGAAAGCAGACTGTCAAGTCTTTCTCCTATGAAGCAGATGAATGGGCTCACAATGTAGACCATTCAACTAGCAGATAGGCACTTAATTAAACCTCTATACCTGGGACCCTCCCCCCGCCCCCCGCCCCTGGCAGGGTGCCAAATTTGCTCTGCTTTGCCCAAGACTCTCTGGTTTTAGTCCTCCAAGTCCCCTTCCCTGAGAAATTTCTCAGGCCCAGGTAAAGCAGGAGGTTTGATCATCCCATACATCAGACAGAGCTCAAACCAGTTTTAATCTCCAGCCCTGCTTTCTACAACTGCCTGCTTCCACTGAACACTCCCACATAACCAAGGGTCCAGGTTACAGGGCTTCCTCTAGCCCCGTAAGACAACTCCTACTGTCCTTGAAAAACTCCACCCTGATGATGCCTCCTGTCCAGGAACCCTGGGGCTCCAGGGATTGATCCCAGTACTTGTCATCCTATATAGTCTTTGTCTCTGTGGGCATCTCACCCACCAGCTGCGTGGTTACACCCACGGCTCAAGATACTTACTATCAGAGCCACATGATGAGCACCCCAGCTGACACAGCACTCTTCCAAATTACCCAGTGATTTTCCAAACCCCGCTGCAGCACACAAGTGGCAGAGCTCTTTGGGCTGTAATATGGATTAAGCAGCTCTGCCTGATCCAGGGCAGGCTGCTCAAGTTTCCAAAAAAAAAGCACCAGATACACAGGAGACCTACAGGATTAACCTAGGTGGTTCCCAGGATTCTTGAAAGAAACCCGAGACCCTCTCTCATCCCCTGGGATGCTCTCTAGTGGTAAGGCTAAGTCAGAAGTTCCTCCAAACTGACTTTGAGGGAAAGGTTAGTCAGAAACACAATGTAATGAATGCAAGCTCTGGGGTCAGACTGTCTTCTAGCTCTGTCACTTTTCAGTTGTCACCCTGGGGCAAGCGACTTTTAAACTCTTTGAGTCTTATAGTCACATTCATAAGATGGAAATAAAAACCGTTTCCATAACTCAACGGATTCATAAGGACTAAAAGAGACAACTCACAGGAAGTCCTCAGTAAGTACCCAACAAAGAACAGAGCAATAAATAAACATGAAAGCAACTGTTGTTGCTGCTATAGGGTCAGAACCAACCCATAGCTGACTCTCCAGCACGTTTTCAGAGGCAGGAAACTGCACAGGAGGAGACTGACCATTTTTCTCCCACAGAGCAGCTGGTGGATTTGAACCACATGCTTTTGGGATGCCAGTGCATCCCAATGCACCATGAGGCCAAGCTGAAATTAGGCAGAGCTCGGGGAGAGACTGCAGCTACTTGGGTCTGGCTGGAGGCTCAAATTCTATCTATATAACCATCCTCTCCTTCTCAGCCACATCCACCCACTTGAAATTCCTGAAATCCTTCAGCCTCTCCCCTCCCTGTCCAGCTGCCCTCACATAAAAGATTCCTGATTTCTTACCCTCGCCCTCTCCTTGGGCCACTCTCTCTCTTTCTATATTGCACTCGCCACCCTCAAAATCATCCCTACTGTTTTGAGACCCATCAACATTTATTAATATCTGCTCCATGCTAGAAAGGAGCCATCTGAGAACCATGACCTCATATCCACCCTGAAAGGGGGCAGTCTTTATCCAATTCCCTTCTGACTCCCTCCCAGGATCCTGTCTTTCTCCTACTGTCACCCCTGTACCCATATTCCTTCTCATTAGTAATCCCGGAAGTGCCCTGCAGACACCAGCCCATGTCTTACCATCCAAGGTTTGTCTACACCCACTCAATCCCTTCTCTCCATACTGCATTTCCCTCCCAACAGTCACTCCTTCCTCAAAGGTCTCTGCAACCTACATGTCCCTCCTCCAAGCCCACAGCCTCTGCCTGTTCTACGCTTCTCCCCAATTCCTTCATTCATTCACTCTCATTCCTTAAGTATTCACTGAGTTCCCACTGTGTGCTAGGAACAGCATTGGAAGCTGAGAATACAGTGGTGATCAGAACAAGCAGGAAGAAAAGAAGTAAAAATAGAGTAAGTGCAAGTAGTAGAGGTGCAATGACCAAAACCAAGAGAAAAGTCGGCCAGAAAGGGAATGGAGTAGAGGAAGAATGGGGTGGGGTGCGCATATGTGTTTTTTTAGGTCAGGTAGTCTGGGAAGGATTTGCTAGGCTGGCAATCACAATTCCTGCTATACTGGCCACCTACTTAAGTGGCAGGCGCTGGGTGTGTGACCATTTATTGAACAAATTCTTTTTGCGCATGACACTACTGAATTCTTGTACAAGGATCAAGATACTTATTCGAAGACATCGAGTTAGAGGCCCAGAAAGGGTAGTAATTTTGCCCAAGCTCACAAAGCTATTAAAGTAGTGGAGTTGGAATCTGAACAGAAGTCTGATTACAAAGACTATTTCTTAGTATCTGTGAACTACTGGATCCAAGAACCCCTTTGCCACCTAGCTCTCTAGAAGCTCTATTTAACCTCCCCCCCGGGGAAAATGATTTCCTTTGATTTAAACAACGCTGTCATTTATTAAGCCCCTGTAGATGTGGGGCTTCTTATCCAAACCTCCCAACTGTCTTAGGCAGCAAGTGCTGTCACTACACACATTTTGCAAGACAGGAAACTGGAGTCTTAAACTCGCACACACGGGACTATCCCACTCCAAGACTCTAGGCCTTTGACCCCCATGCTCTCCAGCCAAAGCAGCACAACCCCAAGGAAGCTTAGTGCCACAGCCCGTCCAGGTCAAGAATCAAGTCTAAATCCATAATCTGGAAGCTTATGCCAATTTCACACGCGCGGAAACTGAGACCATGAGCAACTTGCCCAAGGTCACTCAGAGAGGGGCAACCGGGTGAGGGTTCGAACCCGGGCGTTCCAACTTCAGAGACCTCGCTCGTAACCACCTCGCTCATAACCAGTCTTGCCCAAGCGCAGCTCTCCGCCCCCCATCTCCGCTCTCACACCTCTCAAGGTCCCCTGCCCGGGGCTGTAAGCCCCATCCCCATGCCCAGCCCCGCGGCCTCCCCTATCCACGTTCACCCCAACACACTCACTTGAGGTGGTCCAAGGAGTGGATGTTACGGGAGGACTTGCCATGGCCCCCGCCCACCCAGCTCCGAGAGCGGCCAAACATGTCGGCGGCCCGACCCCGTCGTTTGCGTCACGGTCTCATACTCAAGCGGCCGAGCCGCCAGGCGCCCGTGGAGGTAGCTCGAACGGAGGAGGCAAAGCCGGAGGTTGTAGAGACACCGACAACCTCCTTCCTCCCCGGCCCACAGCCCCGTACTGACATTCAGCCGGAACCAGCCGTTCAGCCGCCGCGCTTTACGGCCGCCGCTGCCTGGAACGCAGGGAAATGCAGTTCGCCCGCGAGGCCGCTGGCGACAGGACTCTGCGAATGGACTACAAGGCCCAGAGTGCATCGCGCAACCGCAGGGTTGAGGCCCCCGGTAAGGGGGAGGAGCTAAAGGAGGAGGTGACAGGGATTGTCAGAGTGGGCGGGAATTAGAGTCAGCCTCTATGCGGAACCCTGAAAAAGGAGTCAGAGAACTTAAGAGATAGTGATGATGATGATGAACAAAAGTAACCATAGTATTCTGGACTTTATGACAAGAATAGCTATTGTAGGGCATATCCTTTACATATATTATTTGACTCCCACAATAACTGTTGAGTCAATTACAACTCATCGCAACCCTTTCCTAGAAATGCTGCCAGGTCCTGCGCCATTCTCAAAATCTTTGGTATGTTTAAGCCCACCGTTGCTACCACAGTATTAATTCATCTCCTTTGAGGGTCTTCCTATTCTGCGTTGATCTTGTACTTGACCAAGCAAGTTGTCTGTCCGTCTGCAGGAAAAGTCCAAAGTACGTGCCAGTGTCTCACTTTCAAGGAGAATTTTGGCTGTATTTCTGCAAGACAGATTTATTCCATCTTCTGATAGTCCAGGGTACATTCAATATTCTTTGCCAACACCATAATTAAAGGCTTCAATGAATTCTTCCACTTTCCCTATTCCTTGTCCAGTTTTCAGACGTCGATGCCATTTAAAAGATCACAGGCTGCATCAGGTGCACTTACTCCTCAAAGTGCCACGTTACTAATATTTTTAAAAGGTCATTTTACGTAGATTTTGCCCAATTAAATATATCATTTGATTTCTTGATTACTGCTTCCATAGATAATAATTGTGAATTCTAGTCTTTCAGTCTTTTCTCCATCAATTATGCTATTGCTTACTGGTCCAGTTGTGAGGATTTTTGTTTTATGCCGAAGTGCAATCCATACCGAAGGCTGTAGTGGTTGATCTTCATCAATAAGTACTTTGGAGGCAGGGGAATAAGTACTTTAGATCCTCTGATTTCAGCAAGTAAGAGAAAGGTTGACATGCTCAAGGTCATACAGTTAAGAAGTGGCAGCCTAAGAGTTTAAGCCCAGACACCCTAGTTTTACTCCTTAATTATCAAAACTGTATCAACTCTGTAATAGCCTTATGTATCCTCCTTTTTGTCCACTTTAGGTTTTAAAACTGTTTACTGAAGAAAAATAACCAAGCAACAGTGTACACAATGAACTATCCTGTCCTTTTAGTGGATTTCTCTGGTCTATACCCAAATTCCTAGGAGAGGGGAAGGAAGAAGAGAGCCAAAACGATGTGTCTAAATTTCTCTTCCGAATTAGTAGGAAATTCTGAGTTGGCAAAAATTTCCCTGCTAACTACTCATTCATTTCTACACTTCCTTCATGTCTAGTCTATTCCATCAACTGTACAATCAAACCAGGGGCCACCGTTTCCCCCAATGCTCAGCGTAAGTCTTGGCACATCATAGATGGTCATCAAATACTGGCAGAATAATGAATGCATGGACGAAGATTTGTTCGACTTTCAGCAGTTAGTGGAGACCAGGGGAGGGTTAATGGTTTGGAGTGTTTTTTCATTCAGAAAGGACGCTCCGGTGTCACAGTAGAACCTGCTGGAGGGTCAGCTATGCTTCGATTAAGCCCTAGAATGCTAACCAAAACCACTGGAATGTCAGCGGTTTGAATGCATTGCTTAGAAGAAAGATGAAGCCATTAACTTGCATGAAGATATACAGCCTTGGGAATCATATAGGTTAGTTCTACTCTGCCCTATAGGGTTGCCTTGAGCCCTGTGGACATCCAATGGATGGATATCCAGTGGATAGTCACGGGTTTGGGTTTGGTTTTCACTGAGAGGAGTGATGTGTGAGAGGAAGAAGTGCTGTAGAAAAAGAAGAGGCCAAGTGGTGCCCCACAAATAGGCTAAAGCTCCTTAGCTTTCCCTCTGTTCCTTTCATGTCTCTAGACTTCGGTTTCTTAATCTGTATAAAGGAGAAACATACTACATTGCATTGTCTAGCTGACACTAATCAATGAATGTATGAATGTAAAGCTTTCAGTTTGGTGTTATATATCTATATCTATCTATCTATCTATCTATTTTACTTTTTTTAATTGAGATTTTAATGAAAGTTTATAAAGAACTTGGATTTCTATTCATTCACTCATTGTTGCACATTTTCTTCCGTCCCCCCAGTTCACTTTTCTCTTTGAAAAAAAATTCATTGTTGTACAATCCACCCCACCCCCTCCCAGACCTAATATTTAAAGAAGCTTTCAGTGACTTTAGGTAAGATAAACCCAATCGCCCAAAGGAGGAACGCCAAATGAGAAAGTGTAAGGATATTCACTTTTCTCTGTGTAATTCTTGCTTGCTGTTCACCACGCATGTTACAGTTGCTTTTAAACATGGTTTACAAAACAAACACAAAAAACAACCCTAGCAGCTGGTCTGACCTGCCTGGGAATCTCTAGACGACCTCTAGGATGCTCTGGTGGCCTAGAGGTAAGAAGCTGCGCTGCAATCGCAAAAGGCACGCAACTTGAATCCACTCGCTGCTCCGCGGCGGCAGGATGTGCAATTTCGTCCGCAGCGATTCACACTGCCTTTAAAACCTGCTGGAGGGTCAGCTTTGGGTCGGTTTTGACTCGGCAGGTACACGACAGGAGGCAGAACCACAACGGGCAGACTAGAATGTGGATAGGGGAAAAGGGGATAATAACAGATCTCACTTACGGAAAATAGGCGCATTTCCACTGGAAATGTCTCGCATCTCACCTTTCTCGCCTAGAGAATCTGAGCCTCAGAGAAGCCTAACGTCATACTCAAATTGAGCTAAGTTCAGAAGCCGGCCGTGGTTTTGTCCTGCTTTTGTAACCTTAGGATAAGTTTAAGTCTGAATTGTGTTCAGTACTTTGCTCCCCTCTTTCTCATTCTCTCTTTGCTCCTTGGACTCGGAAAAAAAACTGGGTTTGTGGTCGGGTCGGAGACCAGAACCGAGGTAACAAGCGCGTCCCGGAGCCCAGAGGGGCGGAGCAAAGGAGTATCCGCCCCCAGACGAAACGGGCCAATGAGCGCGGGAGATGAGCCTACCAATGAGCATAGGCAGGGGCGGGCGGGCCAATGAGCGCGGGGCCGCTGCGGAGGCGGTGCTGGGAACGCGACCAGGAGGGCGACGCGGCGGCCGCAGCCATGGGCGCTGGGCCTGCGGGGGCGCGAAGGGGGCGCGCGGGACGGCCGGGCCGGGTGGGAGAGGCAGCCGCCGGGACTGGCCCTCGACGCTGAACATCGGGGCCCGCCTCTCCTCCGCCGCGGCTAGGGTCTGTGAGCGCGCGCGGGCGCATCGGCGGAGCCTGGCAGCCGCCGTCCACTTCGGGGGGTACCGCCGGGCTGTCGGGAGGGTCGGGTGGCGCCTTTGGGGGCGCGGTGACGCCGTCCGGGCTCGTTTCGCGGCCCATCCGCAGCGGCTGCCGGGCATCCCCGGGGGATACCGCCGGGGCCCAGCACCGCGTCCGTCAAGCCCCGGACGCCCTGGATGGCTGAAGTGCCCCCTCTCCGGCCGCCCGGGCGCCGCAGCGGCTGAGCTCGCCGGGCCGCCGCCCCCGCCGCCCCCTGCATGCCCGGCGCCCGGGTCGCGGCCCACCTGGACGCGCTGGGCTCACTGGCCCCCTACGTGCCGCCGCCGCTGCTGCCCTCTATGTTCTACGTGGGCCTGTTCTTCGTCAACGTGCTGATCCTGTACTACGCCTTCCTCATGGAGTACATCGTCCTCAATGTGGGCCTCGTCTTCCTGCCCGAGGACATGGACCAGGCGCTTGTGGACCTCGGTGTGCTCTCGGACCCCGGCTCGGGCCTCTACGACGCCGACTCGGAGCTTGACGTCTTCGATGGGTATCTGGAGTAGGGTCCTGACCACCGCCGTTCCCCTGCTCGCCACCACCCGCCACCTCCGGTCCGGACCAGCTTCCCGGAGCTGCCCGGATCATGCAGCCACCGCCGTTTGGGGGCACCGTTTGGCCAGAGATGGGACCCCCGAGGCGACGTCCTCCTGGGCCTCCAAGGCCTGTAAGTGCCCTGGCTTCGCGAGGTGAGGGCAGATCGGGACATTGCTGGCGAAGGGGGAGGCATGGCTAAGCCAGACATACACCCCTCCCCCGAGTTTCTACTCTCCGCCCACCTCCTCCTGGTTTGCAGCTGCCCCGGAAAGGGCTGACCCTCTTAGACCCTTAACTGGAACTAGGAAACCTTTCCTCGCAAACTTGACAAGCTGTTCAAGGGAAGGGGCCAGGACCAAAACCACGCTGGGGCACCTTACAGTGTAAGGGCAAAGAAAGCCTTTGAGACAGAGCTCTTAGCTCCTCCCACATCCTCATCCTGGCTGGATCGTGACCTTGGCTTTGTGAGGATCCTCATTGGTCTTGGAAGGAGAAAGGTTTGGAGTGTCAGAAAAAAATAGGGAGCCAGCAGGGTGGCCCCCTGTGCGCCTGGGTGCAGAGGCCCCGGGCGGAAGCTCAGAACAGGAGAAGCCGCTTTCGGCAGAGAGCTCGCACTTCCTCTTGGCCCTGCCGCGCTGCTGTTTTTGGAGTCGGGTTTCAGGGTGCCCCAGCTCTGCAGCTCCTGCCTGCAGGGGCTGCCAGGTTTGCTTGCAGGCTGCCTTCACAGCACAGCCGCGCTGGGGGGGCGGGGCTGGCACGGGCACTTTGCTAGGCCAGCCTTGTCTGCAAGACTTCAAGGCGCTCCTGGGTCATCTTGAGAAGGGACACACTGGGGTCTTGTCTCTGGCAGTGACCAGCCCTGGCTTGCATATTAGATATGGGCATATAAAGGCCCAGGGAGGAGAAAGACCTCTGCAGCGTCACACACAGCGTGGTCTGGAAGGGGACAAGCAGGGGTGAGAAAGAGAAAAGCCTGCAGGTGGCTTAGGGGTAGGCATAGCTCTTTGGCCAAACCTCTCAGCTGAATGATGCTGGACATGTGTCACTGGGCACAGAAGGGAACGCTG